AAGAGACATACAAACACAGAATGTTAACAAAGCTAATGACGTTCAGATTTTACAAGAGGCAAGAAGCATTAAATTGAATGAAAATGAATGATTCGATTTGAAATGAATTAAACTACATAAAAAAGTTTGTCAAGACAAACTTTAGGTTGGCTTGAGAAAGCCTAGCTTGAAAGTTTAAAGCAGTTGTAAAAGCATGAAGTTTGAAAATTTAGATCAGTTAACATGATTAGCATGATTTTAATGTCGCAGCAGCAGGAGTGGACATGGTGATCGTCTCATACGTCACTTTATCTTCATTCTCATCTTTGACCTTCAAACAACAAACAGTTAAAACTGCATTATTCACACTTTATTGAGCTTTAAAGACAGAAATCAGATCTAAATCACTGGCATTACTGAACTCACCGCCAATTCACCAGTGCCTCTTTTATTACCTGAAACAAAAGTGCCTCAAATGATTATTTATAATAAAAGAGACATACAAACACAGAATGTTAACAAAGCTAATGACGTTCAGATTTTACAAGAGGCAAGAAGCATTAAATTGAATGAAAATTAATGATTTGCAAATGATTATTTATAATAAAAGAGACATACAAACACAGAATGTTAACAAAGCTAATGACGTTCAGATTTTACAAGAGGCAAGAAGCATTAAATTGAATGAAAATGAATGATTCGATTTGAAATGAATTAAACTACATAAAAAAGTTTGTCAAGACAAACTTTAGGTTGGCTTGAGAAAGCCTAGCTTGAAAGTTTAAAGCAGTTGTAAAAGCATGAAGTTTGAAAATTTAGATAAGTTAACATGATTAGCATGATTTTAATGTTGTTAACATGTTTCCAGCATGATTAGCATGTTGCTAACATGTTGTTAGCATGATTAGTGTGTTGTTAGCATTTTGTTAGCATGATTAGCATGTCACTAGCATGTTGTTAGCATTATTTGCATTTCATTAGCATGTTTCCAGCATGATTAGCATGTTTCTAACATGATTAGCTCGTACATAACATGTCGCTAACATGTTTCCAGCATGATTAGCATGTTGTTAACATGATTAGCAAGTTACTAGCATGTTGCTAGCATGTTTCTAGCATGATTAGCCAGTTACTAGCATGGTTACCATGTTATTAACATGTTGTCAGCATGATTAGCATGTTACTAGCATGTTGTTAGCATTTTTCTAGCATGATTAGCAAGTTACTAGCATATTGTTAACATTATTAGCAAGTTACTAGCATGTTTCTAGCATGATTAGCAAGTTACTAGTTTGTCAAGACAAACTTTAGGTTGGCTTGAGAAAGCCTAGCTTGAAAGTTTAAAGCAGTTGTAAAAGCATGAAGTTTGAAAATTTAGATAAGTTAGCATGTTGTTAATATGTTTCCAGCATGATTAGCATGTTGCTAGCATGATTAGCAAAGTTGATAGCATGTTTCTAGCATGATTAACAAGTTACTAGCATGTTATTAGCATGATTAGCATGTTACTAGCGTGATTCTGGCATGATTAGCATGTTACTAGCATGTTGTCTATCATGTTACTAGCAACAGTCTGATAGTCTGGGCTAAATTTGGTGGTTCTAGCTTGAAAGCTCTAGGATGAGTAGCGTTCAGAAATTTAGTCTAAGAATAATAATAATACAAGCTACTTTAGCTTACACTCTAAAAAATACTGGGTTAATTACTTACTAGCATGATTCTGGCATGATTAGCATGTTACTAGCATGTTGTTAGCATTTTTCTAGCATGATTAGCAAGTTACTAGCATATTGTTAACATTATTAGCAAGTTACTAGCATGTTTCTAGCATGATTAGCAAGTTACTAGCATGATTAGCAAAGTTGATAGCATGTTTCTAGCATGATTAGCAAGTTACTAGCATGTCAATAGCATGATTAGCACGTTACTAGCATGATTCTGGCATGATTAGCATGTTACTAGCATGTTGCCTATCATGTTACTAGCATGATTCTGGCATGATTAGCATGTTACTAGCATGTTGCCTATCATGTTACTAGCAACAGTCTAAAAGTCTGGGCTGAGTTTGGTGGCTCTAGCTTGAAAGCTCTAGGAGGAGTAGCGTTCAGAGATTTAGTCTAAGAAGAATAATAATAAGCTTAAGTAGCAGATCAGTAGGTTGGCTTTCTCAAGCCAACCTAATGATTAAACGATGTTTGTTTGACTTGATAACTGTTTGAGGTTGACATTACAGGAATCACAGATGAACATAATCACATAATCCACATGTTTCTGTGATACACACAATCTGAACATGATGTGCTTGTTTGCTGATCATTACAGTGAGATCTGAACGGTTTTTAATTGTTATAAAGGAGTAAATCTGAAACTCACCGGCTCTTTTTCTGCAGATGAGCCAGAGAACAGCAGCCAGGAACACAGCAAATCCAGCAGCAGCAGCAGCAGCAGCAGAAATCACTGTCACTGAAGAAGAGATCACAATCATAGTGAAAGACAAAAGCCATCAGCACAGAGTGCAATTTCAACCACTGTGACCTCTGACTTTTGATTTATGCCCTGTGACTGATTTATTGTTTATTGCTCTTCTTTATGCTGCTGGAATTCAGAGCTTTTTGCTTTAGATCTGAATGTTGTGTATAGCACATTTTAACGCAATGTTGTTGCCCAAAGTGCTTCACAATTTAAAAGAAGGCATATACAAAGATTAAAAACAATAAAATGTAACATACTTAGTAAGAAAGACTTACAAAGACTATGATGATGACAATGTACCTTTAGTCTCATGATTGTTTGTAGTTGAGGGATGCTGAGAGTTTGTGACTGCTGTCGTTGCTTTAGCTGGAGCTGTAAAAGATGAATGTTAGTTCAGATGCATCACACTGTAAAACAGGGATCTCCAAAGTGTCCCGAAATCATTTTCTGTACTGTATTTTCCAGTTGCCTTTTTCTAAATCATCTGAAATGTGCTGATTTACATTCCAAAGTCACTTATACAATGCACAAAATGGCAAAATAAACCATAGACACTTAAAGTAGGCACTAAAGTAGATTTGTATAGCTATATTTCTCATGTCTGTGTGATAGTATTCGCTGATGGCTTTGGGATCACGGTGAAGATAGTTTGAGGTTTGATATTCAGATTCCGTTCGGCTATAAATCTGCAGTGCTCTGTCGTAGACATGTAAATAATATCACACGTCATTCTTCATGATTTGTGAATTCAGGTGTCCTCCGGTCTGAGATCAGAGTGTTTTTTTTTATATAGTGACTCTTAAGTTTATAATGCGTATAGCTGCAAAAGTCGGACACTTAGGAGACTGAAACCAGTGTCATCTTGACCTGCTTGATTTGAAAAACAGGCGTTCTTCACGGTTCACGGCTATTTCCAACAAACATGGAGTCTGAGATAATACTAAATCACTTGTTTTATATGTAGCCTGATTTGGGAAAACTTTCACAATCACGTTATCATGTTTCAGTCTTTCTCGCTGCTCTTTTTCTTGAGTAATAATGTCAAACAGGCTGAGCCGAAGAATAACAATGGTCATAGGCTCATATAGACTATTCTGATTTCTGTCTTCTGCTAGTTAGCGAAGCATTAAAAAACTATCTGAACTGATAAATAACAGATTGGAGATTAAAATAATAGCAGATTTGTCTCATTTTAAATGAATACTAAAAACTAAGATGACAATTTTACTTAAGCCAGAAATGTACTTTTACTATGGTAAAATAAATGTTCAGCGATATCTTCAAAAGATTTTTGAATTTCTGTGCACTTTTTTTTCTCTATAAAGTGTTGATATGGCAGCTAGTAAATACTGTAAATTGTGTTATGCTAGCATGTGTGGAAATATTCAAACCACGTGTGTTACAACTAACCCCGCGTTACTTTGTGCCCCGCGCTCCCCTACAAATCCTGTATAATAAATAATAGTTTAACAATCAAAACTCTCAGCTCCTCCTGTGGGTTTAACTTCCTCTGATCTGACAGACCGAGTGTTTAAATTCTTCTAGAGTTGCACAGAGTGCCAGTGCATAATGAAGAAGTGCTGCTTTACATTGTGTGAAACATGTTCTTCAGTGTGATAAAGTGCATTCTGTCAACCACACTGGCTCAACACACATCTGCTCTGAGCACAGTTTATAGGCTATTCTTTCCTTTTGCACACGAAAGTTGTTGCATCAGCTGCTGTTTAAAGCGCTTGCGAGATGCTTTTCCATGATCGATCATCAGCATCATAAATCCTGCAAAGTGCTTTATATATTTTTGTAATGTATGTACATTTGGAACACTACATTATCTTATAATTACCTTTGCATCAAAAAACTAGTAAACGCTGCTGTGAGGGTGTTTCTAATACAGCGGCTGTGGGAGTGACAGTACATTTGACATCCTTTTCATTTTATTCACTGAGGGTTTTGGGATCACGGTGAAGATAGTTTGAGGTTTGATATTCAGATTGCGTTTGGCTATAAATCTGCAGTGCAGTGTGAAGCTTACATTTTACTGGAGTATTTTACATGAGGAGCGCTGTGCTGTTTGACGTCAAATGTACGATTTGCACCAAGCTTTGTGACGTATTTCTGTTTTTAAATAATGTGTCTTGCTAGTTTCCAGTTGATGTTTTTAATGTGCGGTATAGTGGCCTAGTTCCCTAAACAGCACTTTAAATGAGTATCAGCAAGAAGATGCAGTCCAAGCCGACCTGAAAAAGCAGTGGCAGGTAAATATATCACAAATAAAAGTTTTTGTTTTTTCCCCCCGAGCTGGAAGGCCGACAGATGAGGGAGTGAGACGTGAGTGCCGGTGACACTGTACAGCCCATTCATCTGTGAACACATTAATGCATCCTCCGTATCCTTTGTAATGTGGGAAAGTGGGACGCTGGTAGCGGTCAAGCTCACTCTTCCTCCTCTCTGCCCTTGCATATCATAAGGTCAAGTGCAAGAAAATGGTTTCCACACTCCATGTATTATATGAATGTGAATCCATTGGATTGCATGAGAGGACGACAGACAAAGGAGTGGCGTAACTGCTCGCTCTCCTTCTCTGCATTCACTCACCTATTCTCTTTGGGAAAATAAGGAGGATCCTGATGCTGCCTCCATACCTTGAGTACAGGAGTGGACGACAGATATAAGAGTGGGACGTGAGTGGCGTAGTTGCCCAACATTTCATTACATTACTTGCCCACCGCAGCACTGGACTGCTATCGTTTTGCTTTTTAATAGAAATAAAAACCACACTGGCTCAACACACATAGAGCAGTGATCATCTCTGAACCAGTTTAGACTGATGGGTGTGAATCTGAATCTGATGTCTCTTCCTCTTCTTTCTGTAAGTGAGCTGCTGCGTGACATTAAACTCTATCGTCAGTTAAATTCAGCCTGTTTAATAAACTGAAGTTAAAAACTATTTACACTTACTAACATATATTTGAATGAAATTTGATTTAAATTTCTATAAAAGTAATCTACATCTACAGTATGTGAGCACGTTACTATAACTTCCACAAGTCCTCCTTTCAAATCTTCTCTTTTATTATGGTCACTAATTTGATATATAACATGTATATATTATGTTTGGCACACGTTAGTTTTTCAAATATCAAATATCTGAGGGCTGGCTGTTAATAGGGCTTAAAGCAGTGAAATTATGAATAATTAGACTAGATCATGACTGAAGGGGAATCAATGTATCAATGTATTTATGTATCAATAAAACAAACTTCTGGAAGTTTGTCTTCAAGAGTCTGTTTGTGTGTCAGTGTTGACATCAGCTCAATCTGATTGGCTGATCACCATACTCAGCTTCCATTGGTCCATTTGTGTCTGAATGGGTGAGACTTGGCCAGAATTATTGTATTGTATTGTGTTGTATTAACAATGTGCCTGATGTAAGCAAACAGCTTTATACTCAAAACAAACTTTATAATCAAGTTTATCAAAGTGGATTTCTGAACTAACCACAATAAAGTTGTATGAATTATTATAAACATGAATTAATTATTTCATTATTTGTTCATCTTTATTGCTTTGCTTCAGTTAAACACATCCTCATGAGCTCATGAAAGCGAATCACCACATTTGTAACAAATATCTCAGGAGATGTGAATTAAACCCAACTGCAGAGGCTTTATTAAGAAAATTAGTTGAAATCATCCATAATTTAAAAAATGATAATAAAAATGCTAAAACTCAAGAACGAACAGAGAAGATACAAGAATCAAAGCTCTGTCACATTATTACTCTGTAAAATGTGAATCATGTGTCTTGTAATTTCCCCTTAAAAAATTAAGGTGACAATTAAAAATAGTGTGTATATTTTATTAAAGAAAGTGTGGTTCAATGTTGTATAGAAAATATTGAGAACATTTCACTAATAAAACCAAGAGAGGAAACAAGGAAACAAGCAATTTTGAGGCTTGAATTGAGGGACTGCTTAAGATGATAAAATAAATAAGAAGCCTTCTTTCCTAATTTTAAGAGAATTAGCTCAATTATGCAGGTTTATTTTGACGGTGATTGTTAGTTCCCAACATGCTTTGCATATAGGTGGATATGGAGAATAAATATTGAAATTAAGTGCTATTTAATGTGTTTTTGAGTGAAGGGAAACATCTGTTAATGTTTAATGTTCAGTTATGTTATGTTGTCTGATTGATTTTATAGTCTCAAGCATTCAGAAATCATGCAAAAGAAAATTAAGCAGCTTTACTACGATAAAACCATGGTTAATTTTTGTAAGGGTTGTGATGTCCACATGTTTTTTGTTGAAGAAATTATAGAGGCGGTGTCATCTATATATAGTAAAAAGGTGTCCAAAAATTAAAGATTAAGTGGATATTTGAATGAAATGTTTGGTCAATAGCCTACAAGGATTTGATCGTCCTGTAAGTGTAGCAGCAGCAATTACACGGCCTTTGGCTCCCTTTGCAGGCATTTGTAATAACATGTAATGTATATAAATTGTTTATTTTGTATTTATATATACAATAAAATATTTTGTATTTTAACAGTGTTATTGAATGAAACCATATAATTATTAATTAACCAATCATTATTGCCTCATTGTTTTTATATAATGCATTTTAAGTAATTTGAAAGGCTATTGTTGGCTTAGGTCTGTTTTATAACCACAAACAATATCATCTTAATACTTCTTTGTAAATTATTATTTGAAGTAACAAAACCATAGAGGAGAAACAATAATGTACAGTATGTGATAATGTGTTATAAATAAGAAGCCTTCTTTCCTAATTTTAAGAGAATTAGCTCAATTATGCAGGTTTATTTTGACGGTGATTGTTAGTTCCCAACATGCTTTGCATATAGGTGGATATGGAGAATAAATATTGAAATTAAGTGCTATTTAATGTGTTTTTGAGTGAAGGGAAACATCTGTTAATGTTTAATGTTCAGTTATGTTATGTTGTCTGATTGATTTTATAGTCTCAAGCATTCAGAAATCATGCAAAAGAAAATTAAGCAGCTTTACTACGATAAAACCATGGTTAATTTTTGTAAGGGTTGTGATGTCCACATGTTTTTTGTTGAAGAAATTATAGAGGCGGTGTCATCTATATATAGTAAAAAGGTGTCCAAAAATTAAAGATTAAGTGGATATTTGAATGAAATGTTTGGTCAATAGCCTACAAGGATTTGATCGTCCTGTAAGTGTAGCAGCAGCAATTACACGGCCTTTGGCTCCCTTTGCAGGCATTTGTAATAACATGTAATGTATATAAATTGTTTATTTTGTATTTATATATACAATAAAATATTTTGTATTTTAACAGTGTTATTGAATGAAACCATATAATTATTAATTAACCAATCATTATTGCCTCATTGTTTTTATATAATGCATTTTAAGTAATTTGAAAGGCTATTGTTGGCTTAGGTCTGTTTTATAACCACAAACAATATCATCTTAATACTTCTTTGTAAATTATTATTTGAAGTAACAAAACCATAGAGGAGAAACAATAATGTACAGTATGTGGAAAATAATGTGTTTTTTTTTTACTTTAAACCGCATAAACACATTTCATTACACCAAATACACAAAATAATGTTCTTTTTAGCAGCATCATATGACCCCTTTAACTGAACCAAGTGTGTCAGATAAGAGAAGCATACAAAATTTGTAGAGCTGTGGGATTGAAAACTACTGTTCTTGTCTGTACAATTTAAGACTTGGTTTAATAATGTTTGTCATGTGGATTGGTATGTCTAGATTAAGTTATGCAATTCAGTAATTCTTCCAGTTTTGTACCTTACAGTGAAGTTTATGCATCAGATTCTGAAGATGAGGAGGAGGTTGTGGTCATGTTAACCTCACCTGTTTATTCTAACCATGAAAGTGATGTAAGTATGCAACCATACTTTTACCAAGTCATAATAATTTGTTATTAACTTTGTTTGTGTTATTGCAATGATTTAGGATGACGTTACTGCTGCTGACATCATCAGAAGATTTCAAAAGGAAAATCTTAATTAGGAAGAAAAGATGATTGTAGTGGCTAGAAGAAGGAAAGTTCTGCATAATGCATGTACTGCGCTGAAAAGTAGCTACTTCGCATGGCACAAATCTCCACAATGAATTTGTAGGTGAAAGTGCTGATGACTATGGGGGATCTAGCAGAGAATTTTTCAGGTTGGTCCAAAATAATTTATCAACGAAATATTCTTGTGATGTCTTGTTTAAAATAGCAAATATACAAAAAATGTGAAATATTGACTTGATTTTGTTTCTTTGAGTTATTACAGCCAGATATTGTATAATATTTACCATTGTTTATGGCAATGCTAACAACTCTTTGGGTAACTGAAATGGTGCTTATTTGCGCCTTGTATCACACCACAGTATACAAACGCCATCCTGTGTCTCAATTATGTACTGAATATGACAGAAAATGGCTTTGAATATGACCTCAAAGTATTACAGTATTAATATTACTGTAATATTGTGGCAGTGTTCTTGGTGCTAGGCCAATTGTTATGTAGCTTGTAATGGACTATTTTTTTCTTAGTAGAAGCTTTAAGATAATAAACAAGCAATTTCATAAAACAATTTAAACTTAAATCAGTACTTCTTGTCCACATATTTATTTGTTGTAAATTGGATAAGGTATAGTAGCTGGTCATTATGGCCAAAAAAAAACAAAACAAGATTGTTAATTTTGCTATGATGACTATACATTATGTCTTCATTATTATTGTTAATAATAATAATAATAATAAGCACAAATTGTATAGGCTTTCATTTCAATATCAGTTAAATTATTTCATTGTATTTGTGCTCTTTTTATTTCTCTAGGCTTTTGATGCAGGGTGTGCAGTCATCATTTGGAGTTTTTGAGGGGAAAGCAGGCCAGATGTTTTTCACCCATGACCAAGTAGCTGTGGAGATGAAGCGGTATTACACAGCGGGAAAGCTAATTGCTTGGTCTCTCATGCATGTTGGACCAGGTATCAAAGCACTAGATACCACATTATTCAAACTAATGTGTGACCAACCAGATTCTGCAGAAGAATTTGACTGGCATAACCTGCCAGATGTCGAAATTCAAGATACAGTGCGACAGGTATTCATCTTCCTACAGTTCAGACAGGAGGTATTTATGTTTTGTGATGGTAATGCAGTTTCTTTGTTTTAAAGTTTTTTGTTTTTTTTTGGCAGACCCAACAAGACATAGATGGAAGAGTAACAAGCCTTGGGGACTGGATTGTTGACGGTGGAGTCCCAGGCATTTACAGTGCAACACCCAAGGATATGAGACGAACCTACGGGCAGCTGATCAAACACTACATTCACTTTCGGTATGAAACTCTAAATAATTTACATTTTAATCAGTCTACTGATTTAATCGTGTTAGCTACAGTGCCCTTCACTGATATTGGCACCCTTGGCAAATATGAGTAAAACTGACTCTGGAAAAGTACTTTTTTTTTCTATCCAGATATTTCAGATTCAGAGGTCCACAGTTGTGGACTCTCATTTTCATCTCCTTTCACAGGTTTTGGAGTTTAGGTCAGGGGTGCTCTAACTCTAATCTGTGTCTAACTGGGGTTAGAGCTAAACTCTGCAGGAGTTTGGGCATCTCTGATTTGAGTGTTTCTAATTACTCAGATAAACTAAAACATGTAAGGAAGGGAATGGACTTCATTTTTTTACATTGCAATTTGAACAGGTGTCAAAAAATGATGGCAGACATGTTTTGTAGAAAAATAAATGTATTTTATTTATATTAATATTTTGAATGAAAGATTAAAAGGATAAACAGTGCAGATTTATTTTCACATCCGCCTTTGCTCATATTTACCAGGGGTTATTTAGTGGAGGGCACTGTAGGTCTGGCTGTTTTCCTAGTACCATCATTCTATAGCAAACTATCCAAACTTCCAGAAAATAAAAAGACAGAAAGAACAAACCGAAATACTGCATTGTCTCAGTGTGGAGTCAACCACAACGCTTGCCAGGCTATTCCTGTTTTGCACGAGTAGCCTTTTCCAAAGGGTCCAATGACACGCAGCAATATCATGCTTTATCCAGTAGGAGGCGTTGTGATATTGTGAAAACTCTACTAAACACTCGAGGACCAAGAGGTCTTTCAGCTCTGAGTGAGCGTCTCATATTCAGTTTAATCACTGATTCAATAACTGGGCCAATTATTCTATTACAGTCAAGTCCTGTGTTCAGAGTTCAGACTGAATTTTATTAATGTTACGGTTTAACGTATACAGATATTGTGTGGCATAATCAGATTAGCCCTGCTGTCAGTAAAATGATATGTGCAGACTACTACATAATCACCCTGCCAGTTTTAACAATTGGCCCTGGTCCCATTTTTAAAAAGTGACAGAAAGGGACAAATAACATTGACATTTAGAGGGAATAATGTCACCATCCCCATCACCTGACCCTCCGGTGCATAATTGCACAATAATTCATGATTAAAATATATGAACCAAAGGTGCTGGGACAATAGCACAATACAGTGGCCCCCTGGGGTTGAATAAGGAAATCAATGAAGTGCTCATCTGCCCAATCCAACCGTCCCACTGGCTTTGTCATGAATAGCCGCCATACGCATGTCAAGTGACGGACAGAACGTGCCATCTGCTGCTCTTGATAGCATTTTGTAGGGCAGAGAAAGAGCTTATTTTATTTTATTTTGTTGCTAAATGTCACACCATGGAAAGCATTGATGAATTACAGTGAATTACACAACGCCATTAGTACAGAAAGCTTCCTAATGTGAACTGACTGCTTTCTGATATATTAACAACGCTTTTGCAGCCTTGATGGTAATGTGATTTTCCTCTGGGACATTTAGGAACCACGCGTTCCCCCTGCTATTCAACAAAGATTTCCTTAATAATGTTTAACCAAATGATATATGAACAAACTGATCTGTCAGACCCATGATCCACTGTTCTTGTCACGTGTCACTTTTAGTTTTATCTCACAGCAGTTTATTAGAACAGCAGACTTTCAGAGCAAAACAATACATCGTTTGGCCAGTTTGCAATGCTTTAATATTCCATCTTACTTTTATATTTTAAATGGAAAGGCAAATCTCGAAGTATTTGCTTGCTTAGGGTTTGAACAAACACTAATCATTGTACTTTTGTCGAGAAGAGTTGTGAAGATAAACTTACTTTCATTGAAAGAACGACTCTAGCTACATCTAGAGACCAGAGAGGCTTTTTTAACCCTCCAAACGTCTGTTCTGGGAGCGTTTGGTAACTAAGTGGGTACAAAATTCCGCAAAAAAAAGTCGGATTACTTGACGGTAGCAAATGCACGTGCACTGCTAAACACTGTAATGTTTACGACAGTGACTTCCACTCACTGAACTGTAGGGTACGGGGCTCCAAAGTTGCAAAAATACACAAAACTACATAAGGTTGCTTTAAAAGTAGCCTAGCTCAACTAAAAAAAAAACGCGACTCTACAGCTTGCGGTTTTAAACACATTTTTACAATAAACATGGGTTTGACTTACTTTTGCCATTGCACGTGCGTGTTTTGCAGCGTTTCGGCCATAAATCTGTGGATTCTGAACACTCGGAATTTTATGGAAGGCGGACGGGGCCAAAAGTCTTTATACCGAATGTGTGAAATTTGACCGTCAAAAAAAACAAAAAACAAAAATTAAATAAATACAATAAAATAAAATAGATCATTTTTGAACATGTTTATTTTGTATGTGTAGACATTCACTTTCTGGCTGCGTTAAGGCATTATTTTAAAAAATATAATTCCACAAAAACTGAAAGTTATTTTATAATTGTGGGTGGCATATTGTAGCTTGTATTTCCATTCCTTTTTTTAATTCAAATGTGAGACAAAACAATACGAAACACAATACAAAATATTGACACAGTGGAAAGACAACAAAGAAAAAAGATAAAAAGAAGAAGAATTAGTAGAATTTATTTATGATAAAGAAAGTAATCGACATAAGCTGACAGGATATAAGCTACATAAATTAAATAACGGGACACAAAATGTTCTTCATGAGTTTCTTGTGATTCATGAATCTGTCATGAATCTACTTCACTTTACTGCAATTCAGCAATCCTGTAAGTTTAAAGTTTGCATTCTTTTAATTCAGCTAAGATGCCACGTCAATCTTCTATTGGTCACATGTCTTCGTGATACAAAATCACAGGGCAGAGTTCACCGAACTTGAGATTTGGAATGCAGCAAAATTCACACGAGTTTGCGTTTCCTGTCTCCCGTATTCGCATACGTATGAATGTAAGTCAATATAACAGAAAGTGACGTGTGACCAGCCCTTTAAGGTGCAGTCACATTATTAGCGAAATTTGAAAATATGGAAAAAATGGTCCATTTTCCATTCTCAATAGTGTAGCTATGTGTGAAGCACTGATCACACAGAAGTCAGTTTCAAACAAAGGAGTTTTCGGTTGATCAGCGCGGCAAATTCGCATGACCAACTTAAACATAAACGAAATCTGCATGAGGAACTTTTTTGCATGAAAATCCCAATTGCGCAGATTCGTATCGAAATGAATGGAATTTGCCCACAAAATTTCTCAACAGTAAATGTGACCACATGACATTCTAAAAACATGGTGCTTGGGTTAAAAGTAATTCAACTTTTATAAAAAGCCATTTTGCTTTTTTTTTTTCAATTGCATTTCCCTGTGTCTTGTATTTTTGTTTGTTCACCCGCTGTCCGCTTAGAAAAATTTTCCGGACCCGACCGTTCCCGCTAAATTTAGATCTCGTTTCCAGAATCTCACATTTAAATTTCTGCTACTGAAAGAAAGAGAGATAGGCTGACAAATAAAAGTGTGGTCTGCACAAAATTGTATGTTATTTTATTCGTCCTGTCAAGAGTCTTGAATTTATTAACTTTGACTTGAATTTATATGAATTATCTTAAGACACAAAATTCGTTCAATATTTTATGCAACAGTAGGGAAAAAAAAGTGTCAGAGAAAATAAATATGTTGTACAAAAATTGTATTCCTTTTTTTTTATTCTGCGTGCAGCGCGTGCATAACAGTCCTGAGCGCAAGCTGTACCGGTGGTCAATAAGAATAAAGCGCAGATATGCTGTTCTAAATGGACGTCGGGAACGGGATATTGTTAGACCACCCGCTATCATTCAAATGACACCAGAGTTACCAACCGCTACCGCGTTTGATTCGGGAATTTAATCCGGCGGCGCAAATAATCCGGTCGGGTCGGGACCTCTACCTCCACCTTCCCCAGCTCCACCTGTATAGATCTGCTATGGGTTATTTTATATGCTATTTGTGCAACAGCAGTATGTCTTAAATACTCACGGCACCGTATCGCCATATGCATTGGCAGTAGCAAGTTCCTGTACTTGCTTGCAGCAGCAGCAATAATCTACAACTACAGCAATAACCAACAGCAGCAGCAATTCAGCAGCAGTGTAGCAGATCTATTCTGCCAAGACCAAATACATTAACATTGTCATATCCATCACCATGCTAAAATATTCAGAGAGTTGTCATGATTAAACTACGGTTACTGTGGTAAACCCATAGTAAGTGTTGTGGCTATTGTGCTTTAACTACAAATACAACAGTAAAACTACAGTTACTGCGGTAAACCCATAGTAAATGTTGTGGTTATTGTCCTTTAATTACAAATACAACAGTAAAACTACGGTTACTGCGGTAAACCCATAGTAAGTGTTGTGGTTATTGTGCTTTAACTACAAATACCACAGTAAAAGTACGGTTACTGTGGTAAACCCATAATAGTACGTGTTGTGGTTATTGTGCTTTAACTACAAATACAACAGTAAAACTATGGTTACTGTGGTAAACCCATTGTAAGTGTTGTGGCTATTGTGCTTTAACTACAAATACCACAGTAAAACTATGTTCATGGTGGGAGAAGCATGATACATATGTTGTAGTAACTGTGTATTGGCTATTGCAAAGATACTATTTAAACTGAACTGAGCTGGATGACGACATCACTGAATTCAATGATGAACTGCCTTTAACTGAAAAATGAGTGTTTACTATTGTCATTTTGCATTATTGACACACTATTTTCCTAATTAATGCTGTACAGTTGCTTTGACACAATCTGTATTGTTAAAAGCACTATATAAGTAAAGGTGACTTGACTTTACTTGACTATACATGACATGGTTGAGCAACAGTTACTATGGTAAAAATATGGTAAATGTGTGCACTTTTTACATGATCACGCTTATCACGCATTACTGGGCTGGTTGATTTGTTGTGCTGTCATCACCCATGTCTAAAAGCTGAAGACCCATGTCACAACACGATTAAAAATGGTTTTATTTATTTATTTATGTAAAACTGCGACAGGTCTATATTTAATAGAAGTTAGCTTAGGCTAATGTCAATGGTAGGCTACCAGCTGCGCTAACTGAGCAGCCCACTGTTCCACAAACAACTAATTTGAACGCATACGCTGCCATTTTAACACATGACCCCATCTAACGTGATGCAGAAACACTGAAATAATTAAAACAATTCCATTAACCCCGTGATCTCATTACAAAAAAAGATTGTTGCCCTTACTTACCTGTTTGAAGGTGTACGCGCATCAGGGCTGCGTTCCAGTTCACTTTTTTATGCCTGTAACAAAGTTCGTAGTCACGGGAAGGAGGAGGCGGGAACCGGCGAACGTTGAAAGAAAACTTTAATAAAATAAACAAACACAAAATGAAAGTACAGCGGCGAACGTCCTAAGCCCTTGATCATTTAGAATCCGCTATGGAGTTGGTTTATTGTTTAATTTTTCCCCTTACGAATTTGTTTGGTGCAGCATTCTATATGTATTTAGGTATGCTTGGGCTGTTATAAATCTAAAAAAAAAAATAATAATAATAATTTAGATATTATAGAGTTGTTTGGGATGGGGACAAATTAAACGCAATCTGCGATGACGTCACAATCGTGTTGCATTGTGGTCTACGGAGCGGCCTGAAGTGTGCATATGAAGCAGACTCACTCCCTCGGTCAAAATCGAGGGGTCGAGGGTCTGTCCATATAAACTTCCCTCATTCACAATGTGGAATGCACTTCAAAATGGCAGCGGGGATTCCCCCGAGGGGAAGTGCTTAGGGAAGTTCGCGAGTGCGTGTCTAAAAGTGGAGTGGAACGCAGCCCAGAACTGAGCCTCGCTGGTGACGTCACTGCCGCTGAAGATGACGCATGGTATTTGGACGCACCTGCTCTCCACCGAAGTTAATGGGGTTGCTAATGTAGACAAATAGCCGTCTCATTTAATCTCAGTCATGTGTGGAGTAACATCTTTTAGGCAATTAATAGCTTTATTGAGAAATTAAAAACAGAAAGCAAAAAAGGAAACTTTCAGCAGCCAAAAGTTGATAAAACATAAAAAGTAAACATAAAGTATTACTAAAGAGGTAACATTTAATCAGTAATTACTCAAAGAAAATACAAAAATTAGCTAAGTAAAACTGAAAACTAATGAGATGATCTCTCTCTCTCTCTCCTACTGACTTACAAGTAGTGAAGGGTATCATTAAGGCTTTAACGGTATTATACTACTCTTACAATACTGCTTATTGATCTGGTGCTTCTTACCTGGTGCTTCTTTTTTAAGGAAAAAAACTGAATGGCTTTATATTCTGAAATTTAAAAATATATAGCAAAGAAACAGCATGTTTGAACAAGTTACAATTACAAAAAAATTTAATTTGATTAATCGCACGGACTTAAAGTGCAAGAGAGATCTCTCTCTCTCGTGGACTGCAAATAAATAAAATGCATCATAGACGAATGTCTTGATATAATCACATATAGAAACGGTTGGCAAGATACAATCAGCTTGATCCTGTTTCCATAAAAAATAATAAATACTAAGTGTATTTTCTTAATTTCTCCAGTACTGAAAGCAGAACCGATAACATCAGAGCTTATCAATACTGTCTTTCGTAATTCAGCCCCAGGGCTCGTTTAATACCGGGTTCAGGTACCATCTCTACTGCACTTACAAGAGAAGAAAAGAAGCATCAGTTGCAAAGCTACATGACAGTATATCTTGCATCTGCGTTTTCAAAATTCATCATAAGTGGAAAAATAACTAGTCATTTTAAAAACAACAATGATAAAAATAAATCTCAGCCTCTCTTAAAAGTGTTATAGCCTCTTCTTCAGATTCCTGAACAAGAACGGTTTGTGAAAAGCTCCTGCTTTCCTTCATGAAAGAGTAAGCAAACTACAAGTGATACATATGCATTATAAGACAATTGAACATTATATGAAACAAATAAAAAAGCAAATTACTTTTTGACTTGTAATGTCTGGTTAGGACAGATTTATCCAGATGATATTTTATTGCTTTCTGCATTATTGTGTCTCATTTGGTGAGGACGCAGCATCAGAGCTGAAAGTGCTGATCTGAAGATGATCTACTTACTGTGATAGTTTTCTGTGTGTCTGTGAAGAGAAGATGATTGATTGAAACACTTCCCACATGCAGTGCCGTGATACGGTTTCTCTCCAGTGTGGATCTTCTCGTGTCTTTTCAGGTCTCCTGAATCTCTGAAGCTCTTGTCGCAGTGTGAACACTTGTATGGTTTCTCTCCAGTGTGGATCCTCTCATGCAGTTTTAAACAGTTTGCTGAAGTAAAAGTATTTTCACACTCAAAGCACATGTACTCTCTCACACCAGTGTGTATTTTCTGATGTTCTTTCAAATGTTCTAGACGTGAAAAACTCTTTCCACACAAAGAACATGAATGTGGCTTCTCTTTTGTATGAACTCTCAGGTTTTTCTTCAGGACTGAAGCTCTCAAAAACATTTTGCGGCTCTGATCACAAGTGAACGGTTTCTCTCCAGTGTGGATGTTCATGTGTTTTCAGGTCTCCAGTCCGAATGAATCTCTTGTCACAGTGTGAACACTTGTATGGTGTGATCATCAAGACCATATTTGTTTGTCAAACTCTTTCCACACTGAGTGCAGGTGAAAGATTTCTTGGTTCTTCTTTTCTTTAAA